TAAAGAGGAATCCAAAGCCAAACACACGCACGCACGGGCGCACACACACAATACAACAAATAAAATGGCAGTTCTAATGACAGCTGAAGTGTTCCTGTCTGAGCGCGTAAACACCATAAAGTGACTCCTTCTAGGTTTATAGTCATCTCTGTCTGACCTTCCCCTCATTTCCAAAGCTGCGTTTTCTTTGAATGAAGCCACAAAGACGCTCCCAGAGCCCCCGCGTGTGATTGGCACCGGGACAGGCAGGCCAGATAATTGTTTAAATCGTCCCATTGAGGATGCCTCTGCGCGCTTTGATCGATATCCCATTACTGCTTCCTGCATATCTCCCTCCAGCACCTTGCAGGTACAAACCTCACACCCCCATCCATGTCTGATCCTAAATATCGTTCGATTAAAACTTCCCTTTAAATAGATGACATTTATCGATCCGCCAGCAAATATGAAACTCTATTAGCACGTCATGGCTGAAGCGCAGAAGCTGGATTTAGACGGGATTTCTTTCCGCAACATGACATTTGGAGCGCTTATAAATTATTTAAGGATTAGTGACCAAGTGTCCCCCTCCCCTCAGACCTTGGGGTCCCAGTCACAGATATAATCAGCTCCTCTGCGTTTTTTTTTTTAATTGCTCTTCAGACTGAACAAAGAGAATCATTGGTGCACAATGAAGACACATTTCTTCACCAGGTGACAAGATTGGCCAGATTATCTGTCCTGCCACAAAGAAGGGCAGTTATTTAATTTTTGCCCCTGTTGATTACTTGTATTAAATATTTTGTTTAATACTACAAGTGATCAAGATATTGTCACATAAAACTTAGAGACCTTTACAATTGGTCCATGTTTTGATTAAGTGAATGTTATAAAACAGTAATAGAGCTATAGCCCTGAAAACTAATATGTAAAAAGTACATATGGAGGGGGAGTGTTGATGCAGAGAAGGTGATCAGACTCCCCAGACCAGGGGTCTGCAACCTTTACGATCAAAAGAGCCATTTTATGCCTTTGTTCAAATTAAAAGTGATCAGAGCTGCAACAACCTGCTGTGATTATCAACTGGTGGCCTGTGGGCCACTTTAGGTTTGTTGGTAGGGACTTTTGTGGCCATTAGGGGTGACACCATAAAGCTAAAAAGATCTAATAATTTAGAGTTTTACAATTTAAGACAAATGAAAATATCAAATTCTTGTAGGGGGGGGGGGGTAGTTTTTTAATTAATAAAAACTATGTACTGTGCAGACCTATGTATTTTTTTAATTGTGGGAAAATTAAAGCATAAGGTTAAAGTGAGTACGTTTTACTCCTCCAGTATTCACATATTTGTAAAAGAAATGACAGGAAAACTGCTAAAACTAGTCCTTTATTTGTCGTTTGAATAACAACCAATAAAGCGCAGTTTTATGTTAGTTTTGGTCAAAGCTTGAAAAAGCTGCTGCAGAGGAACCAAAGAGCCGCATGTGGCTCCAGAGCCGCAGGTTGCAGACCCCTGCCCCAGACTGACAACATCAAAATGTGGAAAAGGTGAAACACCCACACCTGCCTACTCCCTCATTTGCCCCACTCTGGGCAAGGGCCTTAACCACCGTCTGCTCCCCTGGGTGCCCCATGGCATCTCCCTGGTCTAGTTGCCATGGACATCCGGGGTAAAAACAAGTTAGTTCGTTGGGACCCCTGAAGAAGAACAACAAGAAAATGAAGTAATGTAGACACTTTTCTAATTGGTCCATGTTTAATTGAATTAATTTTATGCAGATAAAACAGTAGATATAGTCCTGAAAATGAATGTAAGAAGTGTTTGTGCTAAATGTTACATTTTGATAAATGTCACACTAAATGTCCTTTATTTGCAGGAGATGAGGACTCCAGGAACCCTGCGGTCGTTCCCGACCCCAGTCTTCACTCTTCACCCTCCTACAAAGAGTCCTGCCTCTCAGGGGAGCAGCATGACGTAACCAAGGAGACGGAGACCCCCCAGCAGGGGCAGTCAACCCACAAGCGGCGGCGCCCGCCGGAACAGGCGTGCGCCAAGCCGCGGCGCGCCAGGACGGCGTTCACGTACGAGCAACTGGTGGCTCTGGAGAACAAGTTCCGCGCAACTCGCTACCTGTCCGTGTGCGAGAGACTGAACCTGGCTCTGTCCCTGAGTTTGACGGAGACGCAGGTGAAGATCTGGTTCCAGAACCGGAGGACCAAGTGGAAAAAGCAGAACCCCGGGGCGGACAGCGCCTTGCAGCCCTGCTCCAGCTCCCTGGTCAGTCCGACTCCGGCGACCTGCGGCTCAGGCTCCGGCACCTTCCACCAAAGTTTCTCCAACTTCAGCTCCGGGAGTGTGATTTTCCACACAGGAGGTGGAGTTCCGCTTTCCTCCACTGGGGGGCTCCTGCATCCCTTCATGCCCAGTGGATTCGTCCAGCCGACTTATTTTAATTCACATCATTTATAAAAAAAATAAAAAAAATAAATAAAATACAACCAAGACTGATAGATTTTTAAACTCTGTCGCAAAATGATACTTCTCACACCAGAAGTTTTAACCACAGAACTTTTTATTTCCACGTTGCATTGCGTTTTTTTAATTACTCTATTATAAGTCAACTAAACAGGATTTTTAATGTTTTAATAATTTAAATGCTGCACAACAACATGACGACAATTTAAAGTATAATAAGTAAATTATAGAACAAAAAATGTTCAGTTCTTTCAAAGACTTCCTGTCTTTGTAACAGCTCACATGCTCTTATAACTCATAATGTTTTACATCTCAGATGTGACAGATTGCTATTCTCTTTAAAGCGCTCACATGTTGTGCATCTCACATTAGTTGCCATGGAAACATAAAATAAATATAACTTTATTTAAACAACATGAAGCATGTTTCTGGGTGTCATGGTTTATCACACAGATTTTTTAATTTATTTAAATCATTTTTCAATCAAAAATGTTCTCGTCATCCACTGGAACACAACATTTCTGTCCTTAGATCTTCACTCCGCGGTACCGAACATGCCCCACAAAAACTGAAGGGAAGAAAAAGGAGCAGATACATCAAAGAAGCTCTTCAAACCTGTGGAGGTCCTGGGCCTTTGTCAAATCAGCAAATTAATCCATAAATCACTCTGCTGAACAGAACAGAGAGAAGAGCAAACGCAAAACCACTCATCCCATATGTTGCTGAAGGATTGGAAAAACTCAGAAGGATTGTCACCAAACATCATACAGGATCCTCAGACATCGGACAGAACCTCCAAACCCAAACTGAGCGATGTGTCAGTGCAGTGAGGAATGTTTAGAGAACATCCTTTCCTCAGACACATGTCTCAACACAGAGCAGCTCTTCAGGAGAAGACTCAACGGTCCACCTCAAGTTTAAAAGACACTCTTGAGGACCAAAATGATCATATTTTAGACAGAGAAGATGGTTTAAGAGGAGGTGAAGGAAGACATTTACGTCAAACAAGGAAAAAACAACTTTAAACAACATATTTCAACTTTTAAAAACTAACAATGCAGATTTAGGTCTATTCTCAGTGAGCTCCACAGTTCACACCTTCATGCAGGTCACCAAAACATCTCTCTCCTGAGCCGGGCTGACAGAGATCCCAACGAGCATCCATTGTGTGGGGCGAGTAGGTCCAGACTAATCTGCACGTGAATCCAAGTACACAACCAGGCTTCTCATGCAGTTCTAGCTCCACAGTTTAGAAATGATAACACCTCCTGGATGAGAAGCGAAACAACTTCAGCTTCAGAAGAGAAGCCCAGTTTTTTTTTATTTTATTTTTTAACCTTGTTGTGTAATGAATATGACCTGGACGAGTTTTCACCAACGTAACTAAATTTTGTCATTGATACAAATGGTTTGTTTTAGTTTCATTTGTCTTTTGAGCTCCAGGTCAGCAAGTTGGAAGATTTTCCACTGCTTGTGAAATTGTTAGTTTTCACACAATTCACTCAAATGGCACATTATTACAGCATGATGACTTTACTAATGGTTCGTTAGAACTTGTCCACAAACGTTACTTGAATACAAATGTAGCATAAAAATCATAGTTCAATTTTTTTTTTTTTTTTTAAATGCCAAAGTGTACAGTGGAAGATGTGCATTAGAACAGTTGGTTGGTGTAAGAGAACCAGAAGAAACTGCTGCGGTCTGTGATTTCAATCACTCCAAACTTCTGTAATCTGCAAAATCAAATAGAATACAAAAAGCATCTTTATTTAATTTTTTTACAGAGTGGCATTTTGCTGGAATTATTAAAAAAAACAATGTTTTAGGTCAGTGGCTGTAACATTGGATGGAAAATATTAGTAATAAAAGGTCCTCGAAATTTTCTGCAAGTGCTGTGTTCTTATACTAACAAAGCATAAGTACTGAACAACACAAGAAGTCAAAAAAAAGTGGAAATGCCTGAAGAAACTTGCAGCGCATTTCAGCAAACTCTACAGTGAACATTATTTGATCTATCAACGGCGTTGTAAGAAGATTCAGCTGTTATTTTGTTAAGAAAATTATCCCTGCAATGTGCATGGGTCAAGAGGTGTTTTGTGTTTTTCTGTGCCCGACTAAAATAGTTTTGAATTATTTCAACACATTCTTGTTGTCGCTTCGACTCTCCGGTCCAAAATGACTGGATGCAACTTTAATTACTCACAAAGAAAATATGCAACAATTAAAAAAATTCTACCTTTTAATTTATGGGGTGCCGTTTGTTAAGTTACACAGTCAAAAATTAACAGCAATTCTTTTGGTTTATTTAGCTCTTCATATGAAAAAAAGTTTTTTTTTTTCAGTTATATTTTCACCATTTTATTCATATATTTATAAATGTCATAATTCCACTAACTAAATACTGAATTTACAAGCTAAATATTTAGTTTACAAAATACATACTTAAATTGCAAGTTAAATATTTAGTTAGCAAGCTGAATATTTAGAGATTCAGAGAGATTTATTTGTCACACACATCACACATGATACATGAGGTGGGGCGAAACTATGTACGCAGGGTCTCAGTTACATCCAACAAAAACACAAATTATAAAGAAAAACATTAGTAAGATCTGAGTCATGAACTAAGAATATACCACATTCACTAAACTAAGAATACACAAGACTTAGAATACGGTAAGCACTAATAGTACAAAAAAAAAAGCGCTGCACTAATTATTTAGTTTACAAACTAAATGTTTATGTCCAAGAAAAATGTTTAATTTACAAATGTAGGGATGGCGCCATCTTGTGGGCCTTCTCTGTCTGTGCACCCTTGTGTGTCTCATTTAATCCTGATTGATTTCTCCTTTGTCTGGTCCCAGCTGTTTGTAAATATGTCTTGTCCTGTCTGTGTATATAAGTCTGTCTGTGAGGCTTGTCCTTTGTCACGTCGTCGTTGGGTATTGTCCTGTTCTGTCCTGCCAGCCTGATCTGATTCCCGTTTTTTTTAAAAGTTGCTGCCACGTCAGCCTTTTTGGTTTATTCTTATTCTTATTAAAGAGTATTTATTTTTGTAAACCCTGGAGTCCTGACTTTTCCCTGCATTATTGGGTTCACTCCTACCCTGCTCTGTCAGAAACCCTGACAACAAACTAAATATTTAACTTGCAATTTAGTGAACCATATATTTAGATGTAAATTAAATATTTAATTTCCAAGCTAAATTTTTGAGTTTTTGATTTTGAAAACTTTTAAATAATATTTTTTTCTGGATGTAAATTGATTTTTTTCCAGAGGATTACTTCCTCTGGTGTCAGATGCTGTGCAGCTGGAAGGATTTTTACTGAAACCTTTTTTACTTTTAGACATTTGTTATGATGCGTAACCATGACAATGAGGTAGATTTTTACAACTGGGATGTGAAAACTGCTGAATAACATCTCAAACTCTCAAATAATACCTCAAATACACCCCCAAATCCCAACCGAGTTAAAAAAGAGGTACCATGGATGCTTCTTCGTCTACCTGGAGGCGGTGCTCGAGTGCCTGACCGCCAAGATCTTGGAAGTAGTGGGAAATGCAGCTCGTGACAACGGGAGGACTGAGATCGTCCCCCAGCACGTGCAGTGAAGTCTGCAGTTACGAGAGGCTCGGCAGGCTGGGAGAAATGGTCATCACTCGGGGAGGAGTTCTGCTGGGCATTCAGGCAGTCCTGCTGCCCAGGAAGACCAAGAGGTCTGCTGGGTCTGGGTGGACGGATCGGCATCTGCAGCCAGTTTCTTCAGATCTGCTGTGGGATGAACTGCTACAAGAGATCCTTCCTGCCCAAAGCCATGAGCATCTAGAACAGCTTTAACTTCCTAAGACCCACACTCTTGCATATGTGGATACCAGGTTGTCCACATATGTGGATGCCAGGTCCTAGGAGGTTAATGAAACCAGGATGAGCTGCACCAACAATTAATTTCCCTTTGGGATTAATCAAGTATTTTTGAATTTAATTGAATTAAACATTTATTTCCAAAACTAAACCTTTAATTTTCAAACTAAATATTTATTGTCCAAGCTAAATATTTAATTTCCAAACTAAACATTTAATTTCTAAGCTAAACATTTAATTCCTAAACTAAATATTTAATTTGCTAACTAAATATTTATTTCGGACATAAATATTTAACTTGCTATCTAAATATATAGCTTGCAAGTTAAATATTAGTTTGTAAATTAAACATTTAGCTTGGACATGAACATTTAATTTGTAAACTAAATATTTAGTGTGGAGCTAAATATTTAGCTTGCTAACTAAATATTTAACTTGCACGTTAAGTATTTAGTTTGTAAACTAACTATTTAGCTTGTAAATTAAATATTTAGTTTGGAACCATGACATTTATAAATGTATGAAAAACATGGTGAAAGTATGACTTCGAAAAAAAAATTTTCTTATGAAAGGCTAAATAAACCAAAATATTGCTGTTAATTTCTGACTGTGTAACTTTACAAACAGCACCCCATATTAATTTAGATTATTTATTTCAAACCAGACTAAAGCAATATGAGCCAATAATATATTTTAGTTAAAACTTCACTTGCATTATGCAACCACACAGTGTCACCATTTCTTTGTGTATATTTTCAACATTTCCTCAGTGATCCAGCTGTGTTTGCACTAATGTTTGTTCCTCTCATCACATGCAGAGTCAGTATAGTTATAGGAATTTTTTCTACTTACAGATTTTAAAATCTAAATATCTGCTTTAATTATCTCTGTTGCTGTATATCTGCATATTGTAAATATTCTTGCATTACCATTGTTCCAATGGCCTCTTGTGGCGTAATAAATTTAAAATGATATTTTTGTCTTTTTGTTAAACCCAAAGGAATAAAAATCAGTCTGATTGAAAAGAAGAGGTTGCCTCCTATATATGTCATGTATTTTTGAACGTCACCGTGGAAAATATGCATACAATTATTCGAAAAGTTATTAAAGACCTCCTGCCAAATCACTGGAA